TTTTTTTTTTTTTTTTTTTTTTTTTTTTTTTTTTTTGTATTAAAGTTTAGAATAATGGTAGACAGATATTTTGAGCTCTAGCATTCTTAGCAAACTGGGGGTAACTCACTTGAAAACTAGTCTGTCACAGCAACTTTCAGTCATAGAGCAGGATTTATGATCCATTTATGATCCATGGATCAGAGCAGATTTGGCTCTTTTTTCATTGCTTTGCTTTATCCGACAATAATACAATCTGTTTAAATTGGGATTTTTATTTTGAAGTTAAAAATGAATTTAATGATCTATTAACTCAGCTGTGTTGGAAAATACAAAGAGTTGACAATCTAATAAATTGACAATTGTTTATTCCTGTTTAAATTCATTTTCACTCCTAGCGCTTGTAAAATTCTGGGATAAATATTTTTGAGAGTGTCTCATGGTGTCTGAAAATGAATAGATTTTTTTGAAGAAGTAACATTGGAGAGTTCTCATGAGTTCTAGTGTATGCCATTTGCTCCCTGTATCTAGTATTTTAATGTTATTTTAATATCAGTTTGATTTCATTCACGTTCATACATTTAAACCTTTTTGTCATCTATTTTGTATTTAGATTAGGAAAACATGATGAAACATAATTTAAAGCATGTTTTTGTGCATACAGACTTTATTTGATGATCACTTATTTTCTAACAATGTATTACATCTATGTGCTGTGAGCAGCCCATAATCACAGTGATGTATTAAACAGTCTTCAGGTTTGATCTGTGTTAATAAACTGAACGCCAATGGAATAGTCACTTGATAATAGATTTGATACAGCTGTAAAGGTCACCTACGCTTTTACAGTATCTGGTAATAAAACACCGTTTAAAATTAGTTATATACAATGGCATATATGCATCTAGAAGATTTAAATTGTTTATATCCATATGGCAAGCTTTGAAATGCTGTTTCATCAATTACCATTCTCAAAGATGTGGTGAAATAGGCCTCGTCATGCAAATATTCATGCAAATAGACCACTGTATGACAGCCATAAAAGGGATATGGAGAACTGGGCTCAGGTTATGTAGCAGCTCAGGTTAACTAACGGGTCCATTGTCAAAATACGGGCAAAAATAAGTACTACAGAAACTTGAGGACCAGAATCACTATCTGCAAAGCATATGAGAAAGAGAGTGCACCTGAATTACAATGCAAAATAATTCTGCATCCTTTGCTGACAAAAAGTAAAAAATGAAACTGCTTTTCTTTCATAGAATAATAACAGTAATCACGTCTGAAATTCCAGCCTTTAAATTTAACAGTATATATTAAAGAAATCAGAGCAGAGTGCATTTTTCAACTATCTACATGATTTCATGTAATTGTTTTAAAATTTTAGTGATAAAAGTTGTTTAAGGAGTTTATTATTTTCAACCTTGAGAATAAATTTATTCTGAACCTATAACTGAGATAGAAACCACAAATGATCGCTGTTCAAAATGTTGGTGTGTGAAATAAATGAAGATGCACAATGTGTAAAATTATCGGTTATTCCCAAGCAAAATAAGGTTCAGTGGATTTTTTTCTTTTCCCCAGCTGGCTCAATTTCTTAGTTTAAAAGCTACAAAGGATATAGAATGAGGTTATATGGGATATTCAAAATGTTCACGTCACTTTGCCTCTTAATGACTAAAAAGATGAAATTCTACTTATGTGCATCTTCAGATGCACAGATTTGTCTGTATTCACAGGCTGTAAGAGGCTGTGCTTTTCTGGTCTCACTTTTGGGCACTGTGCCAATCCTATGGAGAAGGTATAAAAGTAACCTAGCTGCAATAAATCATTCTTCTTTCAAGTCTGATATATATGTTTTCAAATTCCTGTAGACCACTTCTATACTGTTTTGACCTAAATGTGCAGCTCTTATCCATCAACAATTCCATTCTGACCTAATTCATTACCCTTGACTGGAACAAACAGTTATTTATTGGTTGTGAGTAGTTTTTGTATGCTACTTGAATAAATCTTTGTCTGCCGGACCTGTACCTGAGAGCAGTGGTCCAAAGGACCAGATTAATTAACATAATTAAGTTTTCTAAACAAGTATATAAACTATAAACAGAAAAAAAAAAAGTTTGAATGACTTTGGAGGAAAAGCTGAATATAAACTTTTTGTTCCTTAGTTAGTTTTATCAAGGCACTTTATCCTGAAAGCCTCTTTCTTTAGTTTATGTGGTAAGGACACTGAAGCTTACTGAAAATGGAAAATCTTTGCCAGAGAATGCTGGCAGTAAACCCAGAAAGTTTTTTCTTCTTGACCAAAGAAGAGACTCATCATTAGGCTAGTAGAGATGCCAACAAATATCTAACTATACTCTACAAATTTCCATGTATTTTCCATTTGCAGCAAGAAACTTGGGTAGTTACGTAGCTCTGCTGTAAAGGACCAAGTCTAAACCTGAGGCTGGAGGAAATCATTATTAGTACCATACTACTACTACTGTAGCTACATTAGTACATGTATTTTTTTTTAGCATGATAGCTTTCTGTATTTTAAATCATTTCATAGTCTTGAAGTCAAATTTAGCATTCTTCAGATGTTTTCGAAAACAGATGATTAGAACTTTCACACCAAGTACTGCTGTGTCCAACTGGAGGGGTGGGAGGATGAAACGAAATTCCAGGACGAGTTCTAGAATTTAGCACAAACAGGCAGGTGATTTTGACCCTCAAATGTCTGACCTTGCACCATTTGAAAAGCAGGGCTGAACTTCATCTGAACTTGACGGTTTAAAAAGTAGTCAGGAATCCTGTGTATAGTGTGGCATCATCTGACAACAGGACTATTTTGAGAATGTGGACTTATTGCACTGCAGTGGAATTTATGGCCAGAACACGTTGTGTTGTGCAGGCAAATAAGTGGATGCTTGGTGTAGTGGTTTAGTTGCAACAAAATGTTTTATGTTATATCTTTACCTGGGAATGAAGAGCATTTCTTAAAGTGGCTGAGAACACCCTGTAATGTTAATGCTGATCCCCTTTAATCACTGTGATTCTTGTCTGGGCTTCTTGGTGTAAAAACCATCTCCAGCAGAGGCTGCCTTTCTATTGGGTGCATGGATAAGTCATTGTTTTTCTGGATGTTGTTAAGTCCACTTCCTTTCATTGTCTGCACTCTGCACCGTCTCAGAAGAGTCACCAGAATTGCTTTCATCATTACCATGGCAATAAACTTTCCTACACAGCCCCGGGGGCCAAATCCAAATGGCTGGAAATAGCGTGATGGAACCTGTGCAGAATAACATGAGGAATAAACTTTAAGGCAAAATTTTCTTGATAAAATCAGATAGAAAAATGCTGGAAATCTGTAGTACGGATAGGGAAGAAGCATGGAAAGAATCTTTTCAGGAAAATTGCTTCCTTCCTTCTTTCTAAGCTATGTCTTGACTTCACACTGCTGCTGCTGTTACTGAATGGTCTTCCCACACAAGTCAGGCCAAAACATGGAAATAAATACAGGAAATAACTGTGCCTTTTCAAATGCAAAGGTAGCAGGAAAGGTAAAGTTGAAGCAGTTGAATTCTGCCACGTGTTTCATTTTGCTTGTCCCCTGAGAACTACAGGGATTTTATCACAGGCTGTGAATAGAGTGAAGGTTTCACTTTAATATGTGCTAAAGTACATTTAAAAACTTCTGAAAGTTTTCAAAATGTGATTCTGAGAAATGAGCAATTTTCTCATAAAATGCAATGTTGAAAATCTTTTTTTAAAATATTTATAAAATGATTATCTCTTGTTCTATCAACTAAAATGTGAAATGTAAGATTTGCAGAACTGCTGAAGAATGCATAGAAAACTTCTCCTACCATTGTCAACACTGAATAGATCAACTATCCAAACAGTCCCCTGAAACATGAATGTTACTGCTTATGATGTACCAAGGCACTTGGTATGAATAAAGAAAAGCAATTAGGTAATTTTTTTCTTCATTAATGTATTAAAAAGAATGTTAGCTGTGTGCTTTTGATTTCCTTTTGAATCCGGAATTAGAATACAGAAGGATGCTTCATATTAAATTTTCTAGAGAAATTATCCTTTCCCCTCATTTTTTACCTGTTCAAATAATTTCAAGTAAACTGAGATATATACTTTTTCAAAAACGATAGATAAATACAAATGCTTATAATACAAAGCAAGGGCAGCAGCTGGCAGTATAGCTCAATGGCAAGCACGCAGCCTGTGAAAATGGAAAAATATTTAGATTCTAACAATGTCATCTTATAAATAATGGTGTGGATTGCTACTTGCTTAGAGAACTGCGAGAGAATTGTGCTTGCTAGAATAATTATGTGGCAAACATCATACATCAAATCAGTTAGAAAATGTGTGGTTAAACATTTGGTCAAGGGGAAATATTTTTAGAAGCTAAGTGTGCTTATAAAATAAGCAAGAAATCCATTTTTATAGAAATGTCTAGAATGAAAACAATGGGTGGCAAAATGGAATTACATTGAGTAGTTCAGTAAACTTAATCAGTTACTCTATCTTTGATTTTTCTACATGTTTCTGGCTTGAGCATACATAACCTTTTCTCCCTCATTTCTTAATTGTCTTCATGTGTTTTACTATTTCTGAAGTATCACAGTGGCTCTTCTCTTTATTTCTTTAGAACTGAAGTTTCTTGTTATGAGCACTTCTGTGTGCATCTTCTAACATCTTAGGGAAAAAAAAGTTTTGCCTGGTAGTAAAATGAATTCAGATTTGTTATTCAGTTGGTCAAAATGAGTTATGACAGCTGTAGAAAGGATTAACCCTTTAGCTTTAGCCCCATACAACTTTTATACCTGACAGGCCACTAGACCTTATAAAGAGGATGCTTATATACCATGAAAATCTGTTCATCTGTGGAAAAAAGGCTAACATTGCACAGCTGAGATTCCCTTAATAGGGAAATTGGTAATGCCTTCCATTCTTGCATGGCTGGCTGTTTGTTCTAGAGATGTAGCTAACTGCCTCCTAGCTGTGCTTGCTAGCACTTAATATTTCATATTTTGTGTCCTCTCTTTCTTGGATAGCAGCATCTTTCATTTCCACCTGCACTGGTTAACAGTCAAAAACAAGGAGTCAAATTTGCCATGGAACTGGTCTGTCTTTTTTCAGTGCACTTCTAATTTCCCCATATGATTACTGCTGAACAAGTATATTTTTGGTAGACAATTCATTTGATCAGTAATCAGAAGAGCAAAGTTCTGAATGAAAAGAATCTCAAGAATAATTTACAGTAGTAGGGGGTTACAAATAGAAAAAATTCTTTTGGGAGTTGGAGTGAAACTTAGATTAAATGGTGCGTTGCACTAGGACAGTATTACCCAGCATTTGCATTACAGAGCTGATCAAAATTTAGGATTGCCAATTCAGTCTATAAAAGATGAGTATTTTTACTTAATGTTTGTTTGTATTTATTAATACATAAAATGGGTGCCAGAGTCTGTCTCTTGGGAATTACTGTGCTGCTTCACTTCACCAGAGATTCCTTTCAGTGCCTCAGATCTTTATGTACTGCTTGCATGGCTGTAGCTCCCTAAAGCCTCTCTATTTTGCCTAGCGTCAGAGATGGTGGTAAAGGTGTGTGTCTTGGACAGTCTTCAGTGGCATTTTTAAATCGAGATGCCTGCAAAAATTCTTGTTTTCAATGATGTTGTTATTTTTGAATGATAAGACACTTCGATGGGAAAATGCCCACCTAGCTCTAATTAAAACAATAGTAATAAGCAGGATGTACACCTGGCTAGATAGGCAGTTAGTCAAGGGGAAAACAGCCTTGGTCACAAAGGTCTTGATCAAAATAGGAGGAACATACGTTGTCAACAAATAATATCCAATATCCTGTAGGAAATAAGGTGGAAAACTTACATTCTTCTCAAAGTTTTCAAGAGAAAACTCATTCGGTTTTGGGAAGAATTCAAGCTTGTGCATACGTCCAATGTTAAGAATAATGTTTGTCCCCTTTTTCACAGGATAGCCATCAATTACATCATCTTGCAAAGCTTTTCTCATGATTAAGTCCACAACTGGCTGGTATCTCATGCTCTCATAAATAAAATTCTCCACAATTTTGAGGTTTGGCATGTCATCACTCTGTACATCTCTGTCACCTTCAGGAATAAAACAAATGGTGAAGCAGTTGGTTATGAATTTATTAGATGCATCATACAAATTCCAAAATATTTTGGGAAGATTTTCAGTTCCTGAAATGGCAGGAAGTACCCATCAGCTTCTGTGTAATTTCATGTATCCTTTCCATTTGGAAACCCACCCCCCACCTAGTGAGCAATACAGGACAAGGAGAAGGCTGAGGTACTCAACACATTTTGCCTCAGTCTTCACTGGCAAAGCACAGTTTATTTTAGTGGACTTCAAGATAGTTGTACTCTGATATATAAGGATTTTATAGCAGTTGTATGTAGTGATGAATCTGAGGCTAACCTCTGATACTATATTCCAAGTACAGTAAGAAAAACCCTTTGTGCTATGTTGTGGTGGAAGATTTTGCTGCTGTTATGCCGAACAGGATTCAAAGTGTTTGCAGGAGCCGTTAAAGTGACAAGAAGGCTCACTATTTGGATTTCCCAGATATTCCTGGGTTTCCTTCAGTTGTAACACTTTGGATCATTCAGAAAAATTTCCATAAGACGACAAAGGGAAGGGCAGTCTCCTAACTCAAGTAGGAAAAAGAGGCTGAAACAATGACAAGAAGTTTGAGGTAACATCATAGCCCTTCCTTTGTATTTGAGACTGAAAGTACCTTAGAGAAAGAGGAAAGGATTTTTTAATATGCTTGCCAGTGCTTAACTGACCACAGGATTGGATGAAGTCAGATTCTATGTAGTTTGGTGGAGTTCAAACTTTGAATGAAGGCTAGAGAAAGGGAGAATACAACCTGAAAATATTTTGATTGTTTTGAGTAGCTCATCATTAGTATTTAAAGAGGAGACCAGTTTGAGATCAAAATGGATGACAGCAGAATGATATAACAATTGTAGTTTTCTTTAACGTTACCGTTCTGCGGTCATAGTGAAACTTCGGTTCTGTGCGAGAGAAATGTTGATGTTTAGAAGTATTTGAAATGAGTGTCCCCTTTTACTATTGCAAGGCAAATTGAAAATAATTTCATTGGAACTTCTGAGGTGATTTGTACTGCTGTTTTTATGGGATAAGTATTTTTTTCTCAAAATTGTCAATTCTGATGAATCCTGATAGAATTTATCTTAAAAATGGTTCATCTTTCTCTTGATCTTGAATAAATTTGTCCACATAAAGTGGTAGCTCGTATACATTAGAGCAAACAATTATGTAAGATGAAAATCCTTAGAATTTTCAGACGTTGAGTGAGAAACTAGATCACTGCACAAGCAAAATTATATTCCCGCACCACTGACTTTGCAACCCCTACTTACCCATAACAGTTTCAATCTCTCTCATCATCATCTCCTCCACTGTGGGGTGCTCTGCAATCAGCATTAGCATAAAGAAGAGAGTCACAGACAGAGTGTCAGGAGCAGCGATCATCATCTCCAGCACACACTGGTTCACGTTCTCAGCGGTCAGATCTCCCCTGTTCTAGAAAAATTGGGGAAAAAATCGGGGAAAATGTTGATTGCCGACCTGATGCCAAACATCCCATAGCAGTAGTATGGAATGGACCTAGAATACATTTAAATGAAAATCCAGATCTTGATTTTCACAAGTCTCATCCCTTATCTTTTAAGAAGCATTCTTTTTTCTTTTGATATAAATATATGTTTTAATAGGTGCATATGATTTTACAAAAAAAGGGAGGCTTTGTTCTTATCTCAAATTCTTACTGATTTATTACCTTTCCCCACACAGTATGTGAGCTGTCAGAGATTATGCAAGATAGGATTTACACAGTACTTGGGGCCTTTGCAAGTAAAAGGCAATGCATCAAGATAAAACATGGGAGTTAGAGAGAGAGCATATCCCTGGATGCTCGTCACTCAATGGTTTTCAGGATGCCTTTTAAGGTGTGAATAACCAGAATGCTGTTTAAGCCACCTGATTGACGGACTCCTTCAAACTGACTAACTTGTATCCCTTCTTGATGATCTGAATTTGATATATGATCTCTAAATTGTAAATTCTCTATTGCTATTGAAAGAAAATGGACAGAAAAATCAAAGTTGGCAAAATTTTAGTATATTGCCAATACCTGTGCAAAAATCAGCTGAGATGCAAAATCCATGTGCTCATCCAACTTTTCAACAGAGGAAAGCTTTTGTCGTTTCTGTTCTATTAAGATTTCCATTGCTCCTTTCAAATCTTTGCTGAAAGTGGATAAAATCCAATATATTAATATTTGAAGCCTTTTAATGTATGATTAAGTATAGATAATGTTCAGAAACATGAAGGTTATACCCATGAAAACATCTAAGGATAGAATTTCAGTATTCTTTAGAATGGCTAAATGGTAATTTGCAAAAGCAGCAATACTGAGGGTTTTCATATTTCTGATAAAATAATTTCTTCTTAGATTGGACTGAAATCTTATCTTATTTTTTTGGAATTAAAGGGTTGAAACCTCTCTATATATCTACACGAAATAAAAAAGATATATTAGCTTGATGGTAGAGTTTTTTTTTTTTTTTTAGAATTATATGATGAGACATACTGTCAACATTATGCATTTTGATTTTGGAAAAATGACATTGAATAACTTTTATTTTGCATTTTCAATTAGCTACAGATTTGAAGGCCACGTTCTCGTAGAAAGACTGTGCTTATAGGAGGGTAAATACACTTAAAATTCAAGCTTGGTAAGCTTCTCTATATATACAGTATAAAACAGCAAATCAGAGCATCAAAACAGAAGAGGAAGTTTGTACTTTTACAAACAGGAAGGTGGCAAAACCTATTTATTCCTTACTTAAAGAAAAAAAATTTTGAAATGCATTGTCATGCTAAACACCAAGTTTTAGCTCAAAACTCAGCCACTGACCAAAAAAATGCACATTGCAGACACCAGTAAGTAGAATTAGATGGAGGGATTATGGAATTATTTTGGTAAGTAAATTAGAACTGTGTAGACAAGGACTTTAAATGGCCCCCTGAGATCAGCCTCTTCATAGCATTTTTCTCTCCTGGGTTTGTAGAAAGTGGCCTTCAGTCAGTCACCATTGAAATTTTTACAATTTACTTTCTAAGAGAATGATTTGAAGAAAGATCTTTCTAGAAAGTAAGAATCTTAGGCAAATCTGTAGAAATTGTTGATACTTACGCTGCCTCTTCATACTTCTTGCAAAGCCAAGAAATCTTAAAAAATATGTCGGGCTTTAATAGAAGAGCTTGCCAAGCATCAAAGTAGTTCTGAATCTTAAGAACAATGGCACTTTCTGAAAATAGATGTAAATAAACAGCAGTATAAAATCTAAACTTCAATAGTCAAACAGCAGAAATGCTTCAGGGAAATTAATAAGGAGGCCCTGCTCCTGCTAAGTTGACAGGATAAACATTTTTTAGTAGATGCCGTTAGGAAACAGTTGTAGCACATTGCAGATGAGGTATATTTCTTCGTAGAAACTCTTGGTAGGTAGGGAAAAGGAGATGGTGTGTCAACTAGAGATGTTCTCTCATGGGAGAACAGAAGCAGAACTCTCTTGCAGTGTGTTGAAATGTGTAAATTTATGTATCACGGTAATATTATTTTGGTCAAATGGACTTGGGGGTGAAAGAATCAGAGAGAAGATTGGGTTAATTTTCATTGCAATAATTTCATTTGGTGGGAAGGTTTTTGATTCTTACATGGCGATAATGTTGGGATTGAAGCATAAAAACTTCTTTAGATGTGAAAAGCTTTATATATATATATATATATATTTATATATATATTAACTTATATATATATTTGATCCAAAAAATATTCTCATGATTAGAATTATTTACCAATTTCAGCAAATCATTTAGGGATGTAGTAGTGTGTCCTTGTTCTGTTCTCTGAAACAATAACTCTAAGTGATGTCAACAAACATTTCTTGTTTATGCACATGAAGTATAAAATAAAGCTGTTGGTACCATCCAAAGGGACCCCTAAAAAGAGCTTGTTAGATGTGTCAAGCATGATCCGTCTCATGAGGTTCAACACATTGACGTTTCCTACTTCAGTGGTCACTTCTTCTAGTTTGTCCAGGTGAACAATTGTTGATTCAACACAAATGGCTATCATGCGCACAAGACCGGGACCAGACAGGGCTGTAAATACAAAGATGCAAGATGATCAAAAGCTTCATTAAATTTTATACTTTATTACTAATTTGCTAGCAATTACGATGTGAGTAAAAAGTTTTTTAAAAAAACGTAGCCTAAGTGGCTGGAATAAAATCATTCTGCATTTTTAGTTAGAATGGCAAGAAACACAAAGACCAAACTTCACTTGCATCCATCCACTTTGTGTTTAGTGCTGGGTTCACGCCATGTTAGGCGTTTGGCACTATTTGTGCTGCTTTTTGGTGCAGGAGGTATATATCCTCTGTACAGGCACCGTGGGCAGCCTGTCTCGCTCACAAGTACACTGAGCAGGGATGTTAGTTTGGGGTCTCATAGGGAGGACAACCAGCTTTTCTGGGAATGCATCTCCTGGGTAAACAGCACAGAAGCTCTGCAATAAGCTGCTGGCAACCTATGGTGTTGCTGTGGACATATTGAAGCTTGCTCTAGTAGAACACTGTGCATTAGCCTGTATTAGACTGTTCAGCTGTGGACGCTGGAGATAATGTCATGAGGGATATTTTCTGTCTTTTCATTTCAAGAAACCAAACATTCTTCTGCTGTGTAATTCAGTGGGATTTTATGACGAGCTTTAGCTGGAATGAACTCAGTGCTGAGTGCCCCAGGTACTCTAATTAAATTACTTTTCCATGTAAGAACTTCTGTAATTGCCTGAAGTACGTTATTTGATCAAATACATGTGGAGAGGGGTTGTACATTTGCAATTGAGAAGAGAGGCTGTCTGGCTCATAAATCGAGAGAGCTAGTACTTCTAGGAATATGTAGGAAAGATATTATTTTTTCCTGCTGTCTTCAGCCAGCAAAGAGCAGCTGATAGTTTTCAATTGCAAAATCAAGTACGAAAGGCCTGGATATCATAGGAAGTATGGACAGAAACGTGGACAGAATCTGCTAAATACATTTATGGAAGTGCCAGCTGAGCTAATGTGAATATTGGACTTGTAATTTCAATTATTTTTACACCTGATTTGTGGGCATTATTTTTTTTTTTTTCTTTTCAAATACCATAACAAACACAGTAAATGTGAAAGAACATGTGTGAAAAAGTGTTTTGAGATCATAAACAGAGAACTGTTCCCTCTAGTTTAATTATGCAAAGGACACACAACATTTCAGAAAGAAACAGACCATGTGATAGAGTGGCACGGTGTGTTAATGCGCACTGACCTACCTTTGGTGAAGAAGGGTCGGATTTCCTTCCAGTGTGCTGGGTTGTTATTAAATATAATCCCATTTTCATACATGCCAATGCACTGTAATCCAAGCTTGCTCCCAAATCGAGAAACGTAATTCCAGTGTTTCATTACGTGGAATACGCTTGAGGATCTGAGAAAGAGAAGTGGGGAGAAAAGAAAAGAATAAAATGCAATTTCAAAGATTATACATAGAATGTTTTTCTGATACTCTCAGAAGGGCTGACTTGCATTCTTAGTTTATTCTTGACATTAAATGTTGCTCCTATTACATAATTAAAAAAATGATTGAATGGCTTCAGAATTTATATTAGAGCAGCAATGTATTCTATCTGGATTTAAACCCATTTTTTCAGTTAAAATACAAAGGTCACCAAGAGATTTTAATGTGAATAGTGTTTGTACTCTTATAACTTGTATTTCTGATAGGGATCTGTACGTATACTCAAGCAATAACCAGTATCAGATATTTTAGAAAATTATGTAAAATAGTGACAGATTTATACATTCTTATATAGTGAAATTCTTCTTCTAACATTAGATCAGTGGTTTTAAATTGATTTCTTTTAAATTTGATATTTGATTTATTTTTTCCTTAATGTATTTTTGATGGACATATATAACTCAATCCTACTAACAGCTAATGTGTGCTTTTTAAAATCACTACAGGGGATTTGCTAAGACCCTCAAATGCTCATAACAGAGGCTAAGTAACACTGCCCTAGAAAACTGCAGGTTATATATTGAGCAAAAATAAGAGGAATAACACACCATGAATAAATGAAGCAGTGGAACTGAAGAAGATGTGTTTTACATCCATGTACATTTCTATTCCTTTTATGGTAACGTTCTCTGCAGTTGATTGTCTGCGTTTCCAGAAGTACCATCCATTGTATTCTACCAATTTCTGTAGTCCTTGGCCAGTATTTTGGGAAGAATGGTGTATCTCTGTCTGTTAGTCAATCAATCTGTCTATTCATCTACCCTTCTAATTCGTATGTAGGGGTTTGCCGTGAACAGCTTAACTCCAACTGACTCCAATTCTGATATCTATTACTTCCTTGAGTAAGAAAAAGGCAGTAATATGGCAGATTTAAGGGAGTATGATTCCTACTTTCATTCAAGGGCATTAAAGAGTACAAATTTTGTTTATTTCAATGCATTTAGTATTTGTGTTGTGAGGCATCAGTTTCTCCGTGATGAATAAAATTAACCAGACAGTTGATAACTTCATCATGATGCATGTTAAACTTCAACCATGATTCTGTAGCTATTTGGCCATTCCTGGACATGCATAGAAAGCCTAAATGTAGTTAGAACTTTTGGTTATGCGGCATCATAATATTATCAAGAGGAATTATTTATACAAAAGTATATTAAATTGAAAATTTTCTAAAGCCAAATATGTAGGATGAATGTTCCTAAATAGAAATATAGGTGAATCCAGTACATCCGTTCTTCTGTTTTTACACTCAACAAGGTTTGTTTTCACATATGTTGGCCAACAGGTTGTGACTAACCTTATCGCTTTGAGATATTTCCTTTAGAGGGAGATAGCATTTTAGCAATGCCAACATGATGAAAATCTGATGAAATGGAAGCTAACCAAAAAGAAGTAAAGCAGTGCTGTAAAGATTATATGTTATGTGGTACAAGTAAACAAATACGGACTGAGGAGGAGTGTACACTTACAGAAGTTGGAATATTGTTTGGTTTTGGAGTGAATTTATGAAGCACTCCATAAAAAAGTGATTTTTTGTTGGGTTTTGTTTTGTTTTTAAAGCTAGATATTAGTTCTCCATGTGATGTCAGTGCTTTTAAGCAGAAGATGCCTGAAGAAAGGTGATGTATGGCCTGTAATGTCTGATGCATCTATAGCTTTTGTTTCTTAGCAGCACTCCTGAGAAATCCTGTAAGAGTTGTATTTTCTGCATTGTCTTTCATAAAACTTTACATAATGAGATCTGAATATGCATTGATTGATATTGCTAATATTTTTTTTAATTAATTATGCATAGTAAATCTTTTACTACTGGTTTTTTTTAGTGGTTTTTTTTTTGTTTTTTTTTTTTTTTTTTTTTTTTAGTACTTTGTGTAATTGAATTCTAGGAGTAATCTCAGTAATTGGAGTGGAATTACTCATGATCCTGTAATGCTGCTTTCGCTTAATTACTTTGCTGAATTGGAGCCATAATCTTCAAGAATTATTCTCATTTTAAGGAGAATCTTAACACGGGAAACTAAAATTAGGCTTAAAGCTGTGTGGCAGTCAGTCAGTCAGCATTCATGTGAAATGTGTCATCCCAATATTAAGTGGAATAGTAACTTGTAAGTGTCTTTTAGGATTGGGTCATAATTCTTTATGTTCTTTTCCACTTAGAAAACGAGACTCCATCCAGTGGTAGTCTTTAGTAGAGACCTCAGTAATCGAGTCTCTAAAGAAACAAAAGATTAGAAAAAGATCTGTGAACAATAGGAAATAAGAGGACTATGTTATGATAATTTTGTAAAGCAATTATTTCAATTCTACCTCAGAAAGTAGGAAAAATGTTGTAAATCTATGAAACAACTTTTTCATTTTCTTGAAGATAGAAAATAAGGTTTACTTGCTAATTATAAATGTTTCTTCACCGCTGATCCAAACTCTCACGAATTCTCCGTATGTCTTGTTGTAGTAGTTGCAGGCGTTACCTACTCCCATCCAGAGAAATCTCCCATGTGAAATGAGGGGCCCAATTCCCATGCAGTATCCTGGCCCTAAGGGAAAAATAAGACAAGTTTTCTCTTGTCAGTGTTCACAGACAAGAATATGTCACCAAAAATCACCCCTTTGGAGACTGCCCTTTTTGCATTATGGTCAAGGTTTGCACTGGGCAAACGACATAAAATCCCTTTGTGAAGTTTTGTCTTACAGAAACTTGCACCTGCATTGCTGGAATCTGATTTATTATCTCTGAAAACCTACAAGCCATTCAGTGTGAATACAGCAAATAAAGTTCAGTATTTCTTTGTGTGACTTCAAACCATTGCTTTGAGATTGCTTACAACCAGATGAACAATGGCTAGACACCAGAAAGAAGTGGTGTGGAACAAATGCTCAACTTATTTATTTGTGATTTTAATGAATCATTTGAGTGATCTTGGCAATAGCACCTGTAAAGTTGAATATCCTTGTTATGTAATTAAATATAATTTTTTAATCTCTCTTAATGTAATTATATTTGTCTTAGTCAATAATACTAGAGTGAGAAAATAGATATTTAGAGGAAAGAGTATTTTACTGCTGTACATTTTTGAAAACAACATGCTGAAATAGGAGCTAAGAAAGGATTCATAAGCACTTAAAGTTATCAGCTAGAACCTACAGTCACTCAGCACTGAATGTCCTTACAACAAAAAGGAGAAAGGGGAGAGAGCATTACAGAATTAGCATGGCTATTGAATCATTTTTAAAGGAGGATTTTCTTCTTCACAGGATGCATACCTTGCCTCTACAATGCCTGTAAAAGACAAAAATCTGCTAAAATCCAAGTAATTTGCCAGATAGTACTTCTTGCTTCTAGTGCAGATAATTCAGTGAGCTTTAAGCATGCGACACATAAAAAGTAGGAATTTATAATGTACATGAAAATATGAACATATAGAATTTGTCAGATGACATTGTATCTTTCTAGCATATATACAACAGAAGCAAAACAAAATGATGTATTTATATGGCTAGGCCAAGTTTGTTAGGGAAGTGGTAAGGTTAAATAGAGCCTGATTTCTTTCATCAGTTACTTTAATGTCTGCGTTATTAGAAAGCTTTGCTGTGTGCAATTATTATTCAGCATTCCCTTCTCATTTAAATTTGAAAAACTCTAGAAATACTTGGGCAGCTGTTAGGCGATATCATGGAGCTACCTTACCTGGTATTGATGATGTTTCTTCGTGGTTCCATATTAGAAACAGAAGGCAGATGACAATGATGATAGGCACTGTGGCAACTGGCATCAAGTCTGGTACCAGGCTGGTGAAGTAGTTCAGTGGATTCAAAGTTTCTGGTATCATCTTTTCCAAATGATTCTGCTTTGCTTTAGAGAGAGAGGGAGGGAGGGAGGGAGAGAGAAGGGAAAAGAAAAGAGGCAGAGTTTTTTTTAAAGCTCAAAGCTCTATTCAGATCTGCTCGGTACCTTTCAACCTGCTGGAGGCCCTGTAAATGAGCAAATTACCTCTGAGGTAGCTGTGTTTTATAATGAGACTGACCTGGACTGCTTGCCAGGACAGGCTACGTCACAAGTTGAAAGAGACATGCAGCAGATTCTCTCTTTGGCTGGAAAATAACAAAGCTTCTCTGACCTTGATATGAAAGCACACTTTTGGATGCTTTGGCTGTCAAACCTTTCATCTCCAGCACTGGCTTTGTTGGCCAGTACTGAGGGTTACTCCTTGCAAATTGCTAACCAAAACACAAGAAATTAAACTCTCAGCACACGTGGAAGCATTGAATGAGTTCACCCATGGACTTTTATCTCTGTTTCATAGCCTCCTTCCTTCCTGCATGTCTGTAGTGTTAGTCCTTAATTTCCAGAAAGCTTTCTGGAAATGCTTTCTGTACTCCACTGAAAGGTTGACTATAAAAAAAAAAATATATATATATTATAATTATTATATATATATATATTATAGTCAACCTTTGAGTGGAGTACAAAGTATTGTGTTTCTTTATGGCAATTCTGTTGGTGAACACTTTGAGAAAATTAGTTTCTGCTGTAACAAACATGACCATGGATTATCTGGTCCTTCAGGTTGTAGCCAACACTTTGAGCAGCATGGAAAAGCAAGCAGGTGGACAGCTCTGGGATGTACGGCAGGAGCAGAAGGATTCTTTGAAAATGTCTTGCCAATTTTTGATTTTAAATCATAACATACAAGAAGGAGGATGTGATGATATGAGTGAGAAAATCAATCTTGCATAACCACAGAAAGATGCAGCTTACATCTGCTCGGTAATAAGGCAAAACATTTTCTTAATTCTGCTCTAACAAGAAAAAGGAAAATGTTTTCTTTGTTCATCCCACCAGCGATGTTGTTCCTTAATAGGAAGCTTTTTGTTGGGCTTACTTTCAGCAAGTGTTCTTTCTTTTATCTCATGATTTGGTTTCGCAGATGAAAGAACAGCTAACTTTGTAGTAACTTTGGGTGCTATCATCATATTAAACTATGCCAAATAAGTGATAGGTACTTTCTAGACAGTGAGAAATTGGTGTTTTCAGGCAAAATGTTTACAGTACACACCAAACCATGCTGAAGAGGGAGCAACAGTGGCTCAAAACCTTGCAGGTGTACGTAACGTTCCTGTGTTCTGGGTAATTGCTATGAAAGTCTTTGTGGTCCACACTGACCGAGACATGGTGTGCCAGGTGACAGAAATGTGCACACAATTTCTAGCCAGCAGTATCCCTCTTGTGATATGTACATATCCTGTATGCATTCAGCTGTCACGCATGTTCTGAAAAAGGATTTTGTAACCAGAAAAATTGTTTAAATCACGTAACAATATTTTACTTTCACCAATAAAAACTGCTACGCACTAATGGTAATGTTTCTGTAATGATAGAAGTGAAAATGCTAGCTTTGAATTGCACTGAGTACTATTTATGTGTATGTGTAGATAGAATCATAGAGTGGTCTTATTTAATCCAGTTCCTTTCACTGAGCTTACAACACACAGATATGGCTACGCTTCATGCACATAAGTTCACTTCTTTATTACTTTCTCTCTGGATCTGACTTCATTTTACAGTTTTTTTACTGAGAGTCTTTTTTTTTTTTCCCTCTATGATATGATAGCTACATCAGTGTGCACTTTACTGTTAGATTTATCATTCTTATATCCTGCACCTGACTGCCGTGTAAATGAAAGGCAGTGAAAGTACTGTCTTTTATTTGGATCCATTTTGTTCTCTGGAACCTGCCTGAAGCACACAAAGCATTAGGAAATGTGGCTCCTTTAGTATTTAAAACAAGAAATTGACGCTACTTGTACTGAGAAATTCTTTGCCCCATTTTGATAAATACGATCCAAGAACACTTCCAGGTTTGGAATTTCTAAATATTTTTTTGTTGGAAAAGTCAGCTTGGCGATGGAAAAATCATTTTGCAAATACTTCAGCTGAACTACTTGTCCTGCTTATGCTCATTTTCTGTGAAGAAAATCTCTCAAGAAGAACTAAAAATTCAGTAAGTAAACTTTATAGATATACAGTAAGCAGAAATGGAACACAGCTGAGGTGCATGGAAGAAGTTTTCACTATTCTTGGCTATTTGATCTTGAAATCTTCTGTGGGTGGTTTTCTTTTCCTTGCATCTGAGTGAGGCATGTGTCTGATAAGAGGGTTTTGTTGGTTCTGATTGTTGCTTATATAGGGGAAAGGGGATGGAAGGAAGCTTTTAAAGTCAGAGAGTGGGAGAGTTGGGAAAGAAGCTCATAAGGAAATGCTTTTGTGACATAAATTAATTGGATATGCCTACAGGTAATTTTAGAGCTTAGCAGCTGTGAAGCACCTGCCAGCAGGGGGACCTATAGATCGTGGATCTTTAACACTTGATTGAAACACTGAGAAAATTCTGGGTACTGTTATGCACTCTTCTCTGCAAAAGGTGTTTCAGTGAGGGATAAGAGGGTTCCACAGAAAAGAATTCCATATATCTAAGTGAAAACTGTATTAATCCCCATCCTTAAAACTGCAACTTGATGCTTAATGGCTATGTTTAATAGAAGGGCAAGCTGTGCATGTAGTTCATAGAAAAATAGAATATAGAATATTTTACAGGATCAGTGGCTGAAATTTACTGATAATTTTGAGGAGCTCGTAAGAGTAGTAGAAAACTGTTGGAGACCCATTCTTGAGTCTTAGAATCCTTTCCTCAGCAGTATTTCAGCAGTACTTCAGGAAGGATATAGGGAAGAATCTGCTGCTTGTTATGAATCTTCAAATATGAGTGCCCCGTAACAGCATCTGAAGCAGTTTAACTAAAGTTTAACTAAACAGTTTGTAAAAGTGAAATTTTAAATAGACCGGCTTCGCACAAATATAACTGTTGGATTATGCAGTTCTAGTAAGTCTTCATTTTTCTACGTAAAACATTGTAGCCTCCCTCTCTTACTAGTAGCTGATTCTAGATATTGTCAGTTTACACCCAGTTAAGACTGACAATTTCATACAGACTATAAAGCTTCAGACTTAATTTCCTTGCAAGTAATTGCTTGTAGTGGTTTGCTTGTATTTATTCTGCAGATGTTTCCTCAGTGTGCAACAGTCAGCAGGACAGTGGCTCAAAGTCTCTCTGCACTGGTGTTTCAGTTCATTTCAGCTGTTTGCTTTGATAGCAAACCATGCTACGCTTCTCTTCCTATTACAGAGCAACTTAAGAGCATGCAAACTGGGGTCATCTTTGATGCAAATAAATCAGGCAGCGTACTCAAGATCTGTGTCTCATGCATACCAACTTTAAGTGGGATTTCAAATAGCATAAAGTGCTTAGATCTAAAGTGAACCCTTTTGAAATGTATGTAGCGTGGATCAACTCTACCAATTACTTTTCTTTTTTGTAATAACTGCTTCTGTTGGACTATAGTGTTTTCTTATGTTGGCGTGGCCTAAAAGGAACACAGAACCTTTTGACAAATAAAATAGTTGTATTTGCTTTTTTTGAATGTGAGAGTATCTTTGCTGGACAGGGACTAAAGTACTTAAAATAGGATGAGAGCTGTCTCTGACTGCACATCAGATTCCTTTAATAGATCTCATGCTGAAGGAGTTCATACGACTATTTCAACACTGCCTTCAAATGGTGGACTTCATTATGAAATAATAAATTAACATCTGAGCTGTAGAATAAGAAGTCATTTGTAATACTATTGTAAAAGTGGTCACCTTTGTGTAGAACTTATTCTAAGAACCACAAAAATAAATGCACCTTTTTTGTTCCTCAGTTACATTCCTTTTGAAGAATTAATCCAAAGTAGGTAGATATTACTGAATGTACTACATACATGGCATGGACAAACCTTGATACAGAGAGTTGTCTTGTTCCCTTGAAAGTCCATCAATTCTTTTCCACAACAGCAGAAGTACAAATATGCTAAAATATGCACTGCCTATAGTTACCTTTTTCAGCCATTTCTAGGGTTTGAGTCAGTAGGTGGAGGATTGGTGTGGCGGGGAAGTTCCATCACACCTAGCATGTAGATGTCATGGAGGAGCCATTTGGAGCTTCTACAGTGCGCTTTTGGTGTTGTGATTTCAGCAAAGATGTGGTCAACTCTCATCCAGCTCAGGAGTTCTCTCCCTATTTGTGGACAGTATGTACTATTTTCTTGTAGCTATTTATACAATGTGAACGTGTGAGGCAAGGTACTCTCTGTGCTGCCCAATTGACTGTACAATAAGGGTTTCTGCTTCCTGAATAATCTATAATTATTTGAATTGGGATTTTTCTTTCAGAAGAATAATGATCTGAAATTAAATCTTGGACCATGTCCTGCTCTGGGCTTTTAATTGCAGTCTGACATGATTTGGAAAAATAACTTGCTAGTTCTTGTACCTTTCAAAAAGGGTCTCGTTGTTGCTTAGGAACTAACATAATGTCTATGAAAAGTACTATCCACATTAGACAGTAAAAGAGTTTCATTTGGAACATACACCTTCTGAAGCAGAATGTCAGTGCATGTATGCCATCTAAAAGAAGTACAGAGAGAAACAAACTTCTGCAGTGTTGGTAAGGCTCTGTATTACTGCCTCTCTACCTCAAAAGTTCCCTTAGAACAGCAGAAGCTCTGATTGTACTCAAAACCCGAAAATGAGTTGTAGGCTAGACAAGAGAATGTTTTCTCCAGCATGCTTTCCATCATACCTGTTTTGAGAGTGCAAAAGTAGACCTATATAGAGTTGCTTTGGTTTATATATATATATTTTTTTTGCATATAAGTATTATCAATTTGCTGTCACTGCTAGGCAGGTATCTTTGTTTGTCGTTTGGCAGATTGAAGGCAGCTCTTTGTGCCA